ACATTTCTAGAGATTCCATTTTTTAAATTACATACTCAAAAATATTTGCAATTTGGTCACGATGTTTCGAAGATGAAATAAATTATTTGATTTTATTTTAATATAAAAACATGTAAACTCTCCGCAGAATACAAGGAACAAGATATTACACGTGCTAGAATAATTTATTTGAACTTTTAAGTCGAAGTTATGGTAGAACGGAATTACGAATGAATAAAATAAACCGAGAATGAAAATAAATAAATTCGTCCAATCTGTTTAAACGTGACAAATTATTGAAAATCTCTGGTTTCAATGATGTGTCAAAGTTAAAAAAATTCCGCTTCTGCTTTTGTAGACAATCCACCATATTTATTTTTATTTTATTAATCATGTTCATGAAAGATATGCAGTTACACGAAAACTCGCGATTCAGTTAGCATAGAATTATATGTAAAATAATTATAAAATTTCACTGTTATTAGTCTTCCGTTTCCTGAACTGAACAAAGGATCCAATTATCTACAATTTTTGCAAACAATGTAGACTTCAGCCACAAAGGATCGATGTAGGAGACCAAAAAAAAAAAAAAAAAAAAAAAAAGAAAATTCAGCCTGAATGTAACGAGTTTTGTGCGAGTGATAAAAATCTTCGTTTCGCGATTAATCGTCGCGTGAGGCGAAACCATAAGTCATACAACACGCTCGTTTACGTTTTTTTTTCCCCCTCAGATCCTTTTTTCCCAGAATATAGATTTGTTCAACTGCGTTAATACTTCCTCCATAAAATCGTTTCGTTAAAATAAGCATGGTTTCTTAATGATTGGTTTCAAATATTTGTTAATGAATTTTAAATAAACCACGTCTTTCGATTCGATGCTCGTATCATTATAATTTCAATAAAAGAAGTTAAAAATTTCTGGCAATTGTGCAAAAATATAACAAATTTTTATTCTTTGCTGTCGCATCATCTTTCCTAATAATTGGAATTTGCAAAACTCGTGTGTAATAACAGAATAATAACAATTTTACTTTTGTATAACTCCCACGTAATGATATAATGATAGTAATTATTTTTTATTATTATTATTGTTGTTGTTGTTGTTGTTGTTTTTACAGAGTATTACCGTCAATATTGCGTTATAAAAAATACAATATACAGACAAATATGTGAAAATTGATTAATTCCTTTCAACATTGCATACTACAATGTTCAATCGTTAAAGCATCTTCAAAAGTTTCAGAAATTCAGGGAAACGATCACTGTGAAATTTACGGTTTTGATAGCTGTAACAGCGATGTTATGGAAATACGATGAAAAGCGATTTCGAAATGTCAAATATTTTAGAGTTAAATATCGAACATCAGGGAGCTCCGAATCCGTAGATTATGATCCCACGATGGAGAGTTTACATCGAGTAAACCTCCCCAAGCTTCGAATACTCGAAACTAACCCAGTTACCTACGACTATGCCCTAATCGCTTCAAGTTTATCCAGTATAAATTGTTTAAATAGCCTCGCGTAACTCTGTTTACGCAATTTAAGAACTTCCTAACCTACATGCGTGCGTCGTTTATCCGATAATGTTTAAAACGATTCCAAAATATATTATTTTAGCTTCTCGGTTGACATTAAATAATTGAAAAAAAAAACATTTTATAACATTTCTCAGCAACAAACCGTTATTCGAAGAACGCTCCAGAAACCAGAAAATGTTTTTTTTATTAAAAATTTCAGCTACCCTTCCAAGTTACAGATCTTCTCCTTTCTTAGTTATAGAAAATTTCAATTTCAAAAATTTCGAATTTTAAAGGCACATTAAATGTGACGACTTCAAAGAAATAAGTTAAAACGCAGGAAAGAAAAATTTTTTCAATTAATTTTAAACTTCTCGATCTTCGATCGATCGATTCTATATCTACTCAATCGGACTGTTAAATACGTCCGCCTAATAATTGAAAATTCATAAACGCATTTGTCTTGCTCTCTCTTCCTTTTTGTTCGTTCAAGATAGATCGCTTTCTCCGTGCAAATCATAATTCGTCATGATTGCTGTCGAAGGTAAACTCGATTTTAAACGTTCGATTACACACGATTACAACGCGATAGCTCTTCAGCAACTCGATTTCGTCGACGTTCGATGAACGATCTCGAAGATGACCCGTCTGCTTCCTCTCGGGACACTCGTTCCATATTATGATCTCTCGTTCACATTGTCCGCTCATCATTGAAATCGACGATTGGATTTCATTCTCCTCTACTTATACGATTCTATCAATTAACTCGTTCCTGATAATTATCGAGCAATTGATAATGTACTGTTGATAAACGGCGGATAAAATACCGATGCTATTCTTTCGAACGGTATCACGATAATTTATTCCACGAGATTTATTAACTACGATGTTTGTTTCAACACCTTTGAAGAAGAAAAATATTTTGTACATTTTAAAAATATTTTTAATATATGTTTTGTAATTTTTAAAAATATTTTTAATATGTGTTTAGTAATTTTTAGAAATATTTTCAATATATGTTTTGTAATTTTTAGAAATATTTTGAACTATATGTTTTCCTATTAAAATAAATAGTGTACGAATTGTTGCGCGCATATTTCTTTTTTAAGCTCATGCGAGTTTATAGTATTGATCAATAACAGTCGTAATAATAATTTACGAAAAGTTCCATAGAGACGTGTACTTTGAGAAGTATATGCCTGATCATAAGCTGTCCTATTTCACTTAAAGCGGTTCGCCTCACTTTTCTTCGTTACTCATTTAGGCCGGCAATTAAAACTTGTTTCCTCCATTGTTTCGTTTTTTATGTAGGCAGTATACTTTGACACCAGAATCACTATAAACTCGAACAAAGCGGGGAAAATGAACGTGCGGAGAAAAGTTTGCGACGCAATAAAGAACAATAGCGAACGAAGTGAAATATTCCCGAATTGATACGGCAAACAAATGCCCCCTTGTGCGGTTATTTCCGAAAGAACCAAAAAGAGATCGGGGGAAGAACAAACAAATTGTTTCCAACCGCGTACGCATTTCGAAGCTACAATTTTTACTAATTCCATAATCTTTGCGCTCCTGTTTCTATTTACTCTCCCCGAAATATTTGCTTGGGAAATATTTGTCAATCGGAATTGAAAAACCGGCCGCCGCGATCGGAGATATTCGGTTTGTTCGAAAAGTTCGATTAGTCCGCGGAATGTCGTTTATAAAAGCAGCTTTTCCAAACCAAAAATTCACAGCCTCGAGGAGAGCTCGCGAAAAGCGGGCAAAAATGAAGCAAGATAATAAATTCGAACGGAAACGAGAGAAAGTCGAGAACGAATTCAATAATAGAGTGCGTGTATCTAAATAAATGTGCAAAGGAAATATTCACAACGCGAAAGATCCCAGATAAAAATACATTTATCAATCGTTTTCATAAACAATCGTTTTATATAAATTTTATTCTAAATGTGCGCGGTACAGTGCACATTTGTTTTAAAGATCGACTTGACATTCGCTAAATATCTATTTTTCTTCAGCGATACACTGGCGAATATTGCTCGGTGAATTTTGCCCGGCAGTGCGTTTAGAACCTCTCAGCACATTCCCGATTTTAGTTAATTAAAATGACCTTAGGCAAACAGGATTAGTACGGTTAATTGGAAAGCTTAGCGGAACTAAGAGACAAACAGATTAAACTATCAATGTACAGTCTAGAGCGGAAGCACGGAGAGCCCTCTTTCCTCAGGTTAATTGCTGCGCATTGCAATTAATCGAGTTCCTTTGAACGCTTCGCTCCTTCCATCTTCGCCTTCGACGATGACGAAACTTGCGACGACAGTTAATAGTATTCGTCATCTACAAGCTCTGCGCGAAGTCTTAAATTTTCTTTTCCAGCTCGCTGGATTTGCGAACTCTTTCGCCGACAGAAATTCCCCGTGACGTGACGTGAAAATTAAGCTGAAGTGAAACTTCGAAACTAATGATAACTTCGCTTTGCACGTATGTACATTACGACACGACCAGTATGTACGTATGTATGTATGCATTCGCATTTAGTTAAAAAAATCGTTTTTCGAAAGTGCAAAGCAACAAATGCAGAGAATTCATGAATTTTTGAGAGGATACGGACAGCTCGTAAAAGATACGAATTCAATCTGTATTTTTTCATTTTTTCATTTTTTTTTTTTTTTTTTTTTTTTTTTTTTTTTTTTTTTTTTTTTTTGAGAGCCCTTTATCGAAAGGTTACTGTCAGTTTTTTTTTTTCGCATCAGTTCGTCATACCTTTTTTACCATCGAACTGTACCATTGCAACAAACTTCAACTACGGATATTTAAAACGAAGAATTATACTATATGACGAAAAATTACAAACCAACAATTAAATAAATTAGGTATAAAATTTGCCAATAAAATTTCTGTGTAAAACTCATGAAGCGATGAACGAAAGAAAGTTAAAAATTGGTACTATATGTAAGAAAGGAAATTTTGGTAATTTTTGTATTTTGTATTATTCTTTCATATTGTTATGCTATATATATATGTCTAATATATATATATATATATGTTATTGTTAGATGTAATTCGATTTTATGAAGTTATATCATATCTATCATTCCCAACTTCTCTCGTCACTGTAACCATAACGTTATAATATTATAACTCATTATACTTATATTATAAGTTATAATATAATATATTATAATTATATTATAATATGACAACTGAACAAATTATAATCAACAACTAATAACAAACAATAAAAGTAAGACGAGTATTTCCACGTTCCTCTATTCACAAGAGGGAAAAGGAAAACTGTAGAAATAAAATGAACTTTTCTAGAACTACTTTAAGATTTACAATGCACAAGCGCACGCGACGATTCATCAACGTCTCCGCGAAAAACCCATGTTTATCCATCCGAATAAAAAGAACTGGGAGACGTTCGAGAGATCTCGAAGGTGCCAACGCCAACAGGCGTCAAATAGCTCGCGAACGTATTGGAGGGGAAGGTGATCTACTTACCCGGAAGTGGCTTGTATGTCGACTTCCGGCCAGGAGGGCCTCCTCCGGCAGAACATCAAAGGCGGCCGATCGCCGGAACCGGTGCTTCTTCGGAAAGAGCCAACCCTGCGGGGCGACGTGCTGCCCGATGCACTTCCGGCGGCCGGGTGCACCGTCAGGCCGGGAACGGAAGTGCACTCGAGGGTCCGTCTGCGTGCAGACAACGACCTGCCATGGGAACTCGTCGCAGCTCCCGGTGGCGGCACCACCTGAAACCAGTGACACAGAGATCGAGGAATAATTCGTGGGACGAATTGAAACTTTCTCATGTGTGGTCAAAGAGCGAGGCAATCGTCGCCCGCTGCAGTGCCGTTTGCAATTGTAATAACGAAGGACTAGGCTTCGGAATGTTTGTTTTAGCCATTCAGAATTTAAAATATCAGGGCATTAGGGTTGTGTATACGTGTGCGAGTGACGAAGATTTCGAGGAGGAAAATCGTGGAGAAATCAGATAGAGAGTAGCGAGAGAATACAGATCGAGGGAGAGTAGTGAGACAGTAGAGAATTATATTACTATTAATATATATTATATATATATATATTATTTTATACATTATATGTATTATATACACTTACTGACAAAAGTTATTACTTTCAGCTTTTCAGCTTCTGTTAAATGTTGCCTTCTTGTCATACTTAACAGAAACAATAATATGAACTAGACTCAGAGATGTAAGAAAGGAAACTAAGTGTCTCGGAATATGTTTATTTACATTTTGGACTCAAATTATTGCGAGAAGTTTGTATGTTTCTTGACTTTTGGCACGCAGCTTTTATCTTGTTTCTTCGATTCAACTTAATTGTGGTCCTTGTACAAGTATGTTTGAAAAAAAACTATGTATCTCAAAGATACAGAATATACCGAAATTACCAAACGATTACGTTGTTTTTTTTAACTTTTGTCAGTAACTGAATATTGTATATATCGTACGTTATATCTTATATGCATCGTACTACACGGCTCTACACGTACGCTGTATCATCTTGTATGTATCGTACACGGTTGTACACGTACGTTCTACCATCTTATATGTATCGTAGACGACTGTCCACGTACGCTTTATCATCTTATATGTATCGTAGACGACTGTCCACGTACGCTCTATCATCTTATATGTACCGTACACGGTTGTACATGTACAATATATGATTTTATATATACCATACACGGCTGTAAACGTACAATGTATCACCATATATCTACCGTATACGGCTGCACACGTACGCTGTATCAGCATATATGTATCGTACACGGCTGTATACGTACATTGTAACATCATATATATACCGTACACGGCTGTACACGTACGCTGTATCACCATATATGTACCATATACAACTGTACACGCATGCTGTATCACCATGTATGTACCGTACACGGCTGTACACGCATGCTGTATCACCATGTATGTACCATACACGGCTATACACGTACGCTGTATCACCATATATGTATCGTACACGGCTGTACACGTACGCCGCATCATCTTATACGTACCGTACGTGGCTATACACGTACGCCGTATCATCTTATACGTATCGTACACGGCTGTACACGTACGCCGTATCATCTTATACATATCGTACACGGCTGTACACGTACGCCGTATCACCTTGTACGTACCACACACAGCTGAGCGTGCACGTTCCATCACCTTAGTATATGAATCATACACGGCGGAGCGTGCACGTTCTATCACCTTAGTATAAGAATCGCACACGGCAGAGCGTCCACGTTCCATCAGCTTAGTATATGAATCATACACGGCTGAGCGTGCACGTTCCATCACCTTAATATATGAATCGCACACGGCTGAGCGTGCACGTTCCGTCATCTTAATATATGAATCATACACGGCGGAGCGTGCACGTTCCATCAGCTTAGTATATGACTCGCACACGGCTGAGCGTGCACGTTCCTTCACCTTAGTATAAGAATCGCACACGGCGGAGCGTGCACGTTCCATCACCTTAGTATAAGAATCGCACACGGCAGAGCGTCCACGTTCCATCAGCTTAGTATATGAATCATACACGGCTGAGCGTGCACGTTCCATCATCTTAATATATGAATCATACACGGCTGAGCGTGCACGTTCCATCACCTTAATATATGAATCGCACACGGCTGAGCGTGCACGTTCCGTCATCTTAATATATGAATCGCACACGGCGAAGCGTCCACGTTCCGTCATCTTAATATATGAATCGCACACGGCGGATCGTACACGTTCCGTCATCTTAGTATATGAATCGCACACGGCTAAGCGTGCACGTTCCATCAGCTTAGTATATGAATCATACACGGCGGAGCTTGCACGTTCCATCAGCTTAGCATATAAATCACACACGGCTGAGCGTCCACGTTCCATCACCTTAATATATGAATCGCACACGGCGAAGCGTCCACGTTCCGTCATCTTAGTATATGAATCATACACGGCGGAGCGTGCACGTTCCATCACCTTAATATATGAATCGCACACGGCGAAGCGCGTACGTTCCATCATCTTAGTATATGACTCGCACACGGCGGAGCGTCCACGTTCCATCAGCTTAGTATATGTATCACACACGGCGAAGCGCGTACGTTCGGTCATCTTAGTATATGTATCGCACACGGCGGAGTGCGTATGTTCCATCACCTTAGTATATGATCGCTCAGGCGCGCACGTTGCATCGTCTTATGTATACCGCGTACGGCTTCACGCGTACGTTGCATTATTTTGTATGTAGAGCATACGGCTGTACACGTACGTTATATCTTATATGTATTGTATATATTTATATACATATGTGTATATTTTATATATATATATATCATAGAGAATATTGAATTGTGAGAGTACATAGATTTAGCGAGAGCTTATTTTTAATATTTTCTGTCGTCGGCTCTCGTCGTTGGGACTCTTTCTCTATTAATTCCTATAATATTATAATTACCGGCCCACTCTGTCTTTTGTCAGAGTTTCCGTCAGAGGATCCATAAAATTTTTTCTATCGTGGAATGAAACTGTGGATCTGTCTTGAACGGTTCGTTCCATTCGTGTTATAATTAAACGAGAAATCCTTATGAGTTTATAAGTTTAATCCTTTGCACTTTGTGATCGTCCCTGACGCGACAAATGACGAACTTGGGGAATAATTATAGAGCGAAGGTTTGAGGATGTAAGAATGCAGAGAATATAAGCAAAAACACGTAATTTCTGCTTAGATTTTATTCATAAAAACTTAGTTATTATTAGTTTCAACAGTATAGAATATTAATGTATTTTTTATTTTTCATCTCTGATGGAACGCGAATATTCAAACGTATTCGAAATTGATATTGTACAAAATACTATTGTGTTTGCTTGCAGAAAAGTGATGCAGAAAAAATGAAATTCACGGTTTCAATTTGATTCGCGAGCACAAACAATTCCCAGGCGTTTGATCGAGAATTTCCTGTCGGGGATAATTATTTTATCAAATTAAATATTAAATTATGAAATTCATGTGAAAAATACTTTTATGTATGTTATGTATAATTTTGAAATTAATTTGACTCATTCGTATAAACAGATACTCGTACAACATATTAATTGGTTAAGTTTCGCAGGCAATTGTAACGCATTGTGCGACAAATAAATACTTTTCAAAGTTAACGTTACGTTCGAATACGTCACGAAAATTCAGATACTATATTCAATTTTTCTGCATGAAAGTGATAAATTAGAAATTTCTCAGTTTAATCTCGTTAAAATGTGGATTACTCATTTAATTAATATTTAGATTTTTAACGTGTTCATTAACGTTCAAGACGAAGTCCAGTTGAAGTGAAACCTGCAGACGAACGAAATCAAGATTTGTTTCTATGAAATTTTCTGATCTTTTCACGAGGAGTTTCGCACGAAGGACGCGGTTTTGTGGAGTTGGGAAACATGTGGTTTGCGTGTGGTACGGATAATCGAGTGGAAATTGGGCGTTTCAAGTATTATAGCTGGCCACTGCGGGAAGGTTAATACAGTTTGTATGTGAGATGGGTGGTTATATTATTGGAGGTGAAACCACGATATAACGAGTGTTTAAAATTGTATGCCAGGCGAGTAAGGCGAACCGTTATTAAGATTACGGATAGCAGCCACTGTCATGAGCTAGAATTAACTTTCCCCGTACGTTCCCTGTACGTTCATTTTACTTTATTAATTTCACTGTTTTCAGCGGGGCACGAAACAACGTAGTTAATTTAAAAAGATTTAGTACGGTTTATTAATTAACTCGAAAATAATAAAAAGGCAAACGGGAGGAACGATGCGTCAGGACTAAATAATTCCATTTTTAGGATATCAGTATACAGATAGAAGAACATGAAACGGTTGTAAAGATACTTGTAAATTGTTGCAATAAATTTCGACACTGTGTGTCAGTGAGGAAAAATTCCCCACGAAATGTAAAATATGTAAAACCTTCGTAAAATGTAGACGAAACGAAGTTGTACCTCGATAGTTTGACATAAATATCAATTATACATTACGTAGAGAGGAGACACGTGTTCCAGATGCCACGATTATTCCCCCTCGCGTATGCGCACGCATTTGACAAGCACTTTGACCACCAAGCCTGTTTGAATAATGCATAAAAAGAAGTAAAAGTTTGTCTGTAAACTGTTTCTTCGTTAGATTACGCTCTAGCGCATTTCCACCTGGCTTGGTCATTCGAAAGCCACAGCGTTTATTAAAAAGTTTCGACGTCCCCGTTCTTTTTTTTTTTTTTTTTTTTTTTTTTTCAAACGAGGCCGCGTCAGATGACGAAGTCTACGTACAAAGTCAATTGCCAACAATCTATTTGCGATTCTCGCACGAAGAGACCGACGAACATATAATCTACCCGATTGCCCCTGAAGGATGCACAGGCGATAAAGGATACTTTGAAATCGGATAGTCGCGATGATGGCGAATAAAAACATTAAAAAAATGTTTTCAAGTGTTATTTACGTTATTTACGTTATTTAATTATTTCGTTATTTTTATATTACTTATATCATTTCGAAGTAGTTGTACCATGAACAACCGATTACGGTTAATCATTTAGACAACGAGATAACGAGCACAATATCATTGAATAGGATTATAATTCGGTAGATGCCTATGGAACTTCACATTCTTGCAGGAATTTTCTCAAAACCCACGTGAACTTTGATTTCCTCTCGGAATCTTTGAAAACGAGCTTCAACTACAATGTCGTCGGGAAATTTATTCCATATACCAAAGATTTTAAATTTATCTTCAAATTTATCTGAGAGTTGATCCGATTGTGCAAAAATACACAGAATGTAACACATGATTTTGTGCAAACGTCTATCTCGAAGTTTCTTTTCTGTTTCCATTTGCACAAATGCAGTCCGCCGTATGATGATAACAATTTAACAAATGTCTCGCTCACCTTTGGATAACCGTGAGGGGTGGACTGCTGCGCGGTAGAGTTGGTGTTGGTGGTGCCGGTGACGCTTCCGGTGGAACCGCTCCTTCCGGTCGCGTTGGTCGTTGTGTCCTCGCGGCTGAACGAGAACCTTTTCGGGCTCAGCGTCAGATTCGCGACGCTGTCGCTCACGTACTGTTGCAACGAGTTGAAGAAGCTCATTGTCGATGCGCGGGGAAAAAGGAAAAAAGGAACAGAAAAGAAAAGAAGACGAAGGGAGGTTGCAGCCTGTGGGCCTGTCGAAGTTTCAAACGGGACACTGGCGCGCGAGAATCACTGGGGCAATTGTCATCGTTTTCCTTCCGGCACGTTCGTGTTACCGAACAACACGGCTTCGGGGCGTTCAGTGCGCGGCAACTTTACACGCATCGATCTCGAAGCGACACACGCTGGATTGGCTCGGTGATACGTGAAGGAGAGCACCTCGACCTCGGCAACTTTCACGGTTCTTTGCGTCACGATATCGATTCTGCCCCACAGCCATTTGCAATATCGTTGCTTCCTCTTCCTTCCTTCCTTCCTTCCTTCCTTCCCGTCCACTTGCGGTTCCTCGAGCGTGCAGCTTAAGTCATCGTCCTGCCCGCGATCTTTTAACGATGCGTTCCCGTCGGCCGAGCACGTGTCCTATTTCCGTGCTGGATCGCTCGCATCTGAAAGAAAAATCCGCGGCTCCGTTAAAAACAAATTTCACGGATAGTTTTGCGAAGAATTTCAGGGATGATTTCAGAGGAGGATACGCACCGCCCGAAGAGCGAAATACTATTATTTGCTACTATACATACGTACATACATACACGTGAAATTTTGAAAATTGTTTAAAAAAGTGAATAAAAAAAGGATCTCATCTTTTTGAAAATTTTAATTCGAAGAGCGAGTCAGTATGAAAATTTCAAATAAATTTCAAATTACTAATAAAAATATATAATATTAAGATTAATTAAAAATGACTATTGTCACTTAAAAATTTATAATAAATTAATTATAATAAAAATAGAGTAAAAATTTATAATAAATTAATTATAATAAAAATAGATAAAATGATTTAACGTAATAAATAAAAATTGAATATTAAAATTGACTGAAAATAATTTAACGTGTCATCACTTAAAATTTTATAATAAATTAATTATAATAAATAAATTAGTAATAAGAACATAGTATTAAAATTGATGAAGAATGATTGCCATTTAAAAACTTTTATTTTATTACTTTTTCATCAGTATCAGGTAGAGATTTCATTGTCTGAAAGTAGAATAGGGTCATCGTAGTCAGACAATCCTAGTTAAACTTTTCGAGATAGAGAGATCTAATGCAATAAATTGAGAATCATAGACAAAAGTAATGAACAGAGACGAGAAAGAGAAAGCAAGATTTCAAATGGGAAGCAAGAGTTGACAAGTACTTGTTTTAGAATTATTCATTGACTATGTACACACATATATGTATCTCAATACACTAGATACCAAATATTGCAGCTGTTTTAATTCTATGAACGAAACTGCAGATACATTAACTGACGATAATTTTCAGACTTACAAGTTCAAATTAAAATAAGAATCGAAGTTAAATCTCACGGCGAGGACTAACACGTGGATTACAATCTGCGCCAGGTGTGTGACTCGACGTAATAAAGTAAGGGGTTAACTATTCCATGCGCATAGTGTATGCTATAGGCACAGTAAAGCTTTCGCTTAACTCTGATAGAAAGTAAGATTGTTGAGAATACCGTAAAGTAAGTTATCACCTGTTTACTTAATGTTTAATAATTTACGATTATTGATTAATTTATTAATTAAGGTTTATTTATTAATTCAGGATTATTTATTAATATATTAATCAAGTTTATTTATTAATTTAGGATTATTGACTATTGATCTAATTCACTAATTATACATCTTTTCATAGAGTAGTGAACAAAAGAATATTTAAATCAAAATTATTATTCTCGATTCTGTTTCATATTTTAGTAACGAAATTCAATTAGATTAAAAACTCTAAATGTAACGAACCAATAAGAACATTTGATGAAATATACATACTACATTCATTTACATCGAGATTCATTTTATCTATTACAGCACTCTTCTGCTTTGAATATTTTGTTTGTTTTTCAGCGTTATATGGATTTTTGCTTAATAGTAAAAATTCTTCGCCGACCGTTTGTTACATTTACACTTCGTAAATTCAATTCGTACATTTCTTAAACTTCCCGACGTTGTACGTCGATCAAAATTGAAATATGACGTGCCTCGTCAAATCGATTGCCCGTCTCCGAGATTGTTTAATCTCAACAATCTTCTTACACGAGACGATATATTCGTGTATAACATGTTTCGACAAACTTCTCCGCTTTCGGGGAACGTTCGATCGATTCAAAACGTGCTGACAGCCGCAAAAATGGCAAAACGAGTGATCTCAGATCGAAGAAGCAATATCAAAGCGACGGATATCGTATTTCTATTTTAGTTCCTTGATAAATCGACGAATATTTCGACGCACGTTTGGAACATTAACGGAGAGCCTGGAACCATATAGGGACGATGAACGAGCTTTCAGAGGTTTGGGAAAACGAAATGCCGCCCAGTTACATTTCCGCTGCGGTTTCGTTGATATACGCGAACGCGAATGAAGCCGAATTTGGCGAGCATCGATCGTCAGCTACGCACGGCGGCCAACGATTCGTCCGACTGTTCGTCATTAATCGAAACGAACATTTTACGAGAGAAAACGTATCGTTCGACGAACACTACTACCGAGCGCCAAGGCACTCGAAGGCAAAATTATTTTAAAATTATTTTTAATCGTCTGGTACTTGCGATTATTAATGACGTTCGAAATTTCGGTGAGTGCCGGCGATGAAATAGAAGAACAATTAGACGCGGCTTAAACGAGAGCGGCTTCGATCAATAATTTGTATAATCCAGATTACAACAGACGGGGGAAATAATTTTACACAAATATGGATAAACGTTCCTTTTTTCCCCGCGGAATTTAATCCCGTTCATTTTAATTGTTAAGATCTTTGGGACGTAGTGGATTAAAAAAATGTCCTACTTTTCTTTTTTAATACACGGCGGGATATTTTCCATTGGAAAATTGTGTTCCAGGTCGTTCTCAGTTTATTTAATTTCACGATATCGGGAGCAACTTTATTTTTACATATTTCGTGAAAAAGAAGTTTGCACGAACTTGTTTTATTACAAGAATTCGTGCTGCAAAGCGTTCGTAAAATAAGAAATAATAATATTCTCTTTCACGTCAATTTTCTCCTCAGTTCCACTGTATTTCGTTCGTGCAGCGAGAGAAAAACACGACATGAACGACGAAAAATTTGTACCTCCTCCCGGAAAACATTGACATTTCTCAAAGTTTCACTGTCCGTTTAATCCATCATGCTCTGACAAGAACGAACTGTGAGCTTCGGAACGTTACACAGTCCCCGCGAAGAAAGGAATTTCATTAATTCGATTGGTCGATAAATCGATTTCGAATTTCAGTCAGCGTCGGCGCGAAATGAAAGATGACAAATCCTCGAAGCGCAGAGCTTTATTGCACCTTGTCCCGATATATATATATATATATATATATATATATATATAAAGTAACGTCGTCGTTCGCGCGTTGCCGTTCCGAGATTGTTTCACTGACAAATTAAAAATTGATAGAGAACGAACGAAAGAGAAGGGACGCTGGGGTTGTTTCCGACGAATTTTTTTAATAACAGAGCGAAAAAACTGCGCGAGTTACGTACGCCGAGTTAACGCGATTGTTAAAGTATCAGCTGTACCTGTACCTACTGTTTCTGCATGGATCAATACATTCTTGCAATTATTACTGCTGTTCGACCCCAATCGCGGGTCTGATTAAATGAATTTCACTTGGAACGAAGTTGAAATTCGTTCGGAATCCGGAACAACGTACGTTCGAATGCCTTTCGTTTCGACGTATTAAGCTTCTCAGGGAAAATGACAAGATACACGTGTGTAAGTTTCACAAGGGGATGTAAACTCCCCTTTAAAAGTATTAGGACACTTGGTTGGTCTTCGTGGAAGTTGTTTTCTAAGTCAACCATTCTTTTCCTATCTGATATGCTTCTACTTTCAACCTTAAATTTAGTGACTATTTCTGTGTCTTCACTGTACTGTCTTTTTCTATTTTCGCTTCTAATAAGATTGGGTATTCTGGAATCAACGCAAACATAAATCTGACTTCTTAAAATGACATAGAAAGAGTATTAAAATATCTCGAAAACGTAAACTACTGCACTCATATCTAATGGCACCGTCGTCGCTAATGACCTCGCTGTCGATGCGACATTATAGAAAAATAGAAGAAGAAGAAGAAGATTGGGTATTCCACTCTTTCTAACCTAACCTCCCTTTTTCTATTTCCTCTATTATTCACTTGCCTTCTACTTCCAACTCTATTTACTTATTTATCTGTCCACTACGGTACCTATTCTACCCTCTTTTGCCTTCGTTTTTGGAATTTATTCCCTTTTATTTACCTTAACGCTCTATTTTTTTCGCACCTCTCATACAGCACTCTTTTCCACACACGCCATCTAATCAAGTCCACACAGAATAAAGTAAAATGACTACAGTGGGCTAAAAAATTGGTCAGAAGTTGAAGAGTGGAGAAATGTTTTATGGACCGACGAATCTAAATTTGAAGTGTTCGGTTGCCAGCGGCGAAAGTAACTTATGTTTTTAGAAGACCTGAAGAAAAAATGATTCCTGACTGTATCGTATCCACAATTAAACACGGAGGGTGGTCGATAATGGTCTGGGGGTGTATTGGAGCATTCAGCGTGATTCCATTAAAATTTTCAATTTTTCAATATCGCTACAGCAATATCACGTTGTTTAATGTAATTTCCCATGTTTAAAAGCAAAACAATGTTACAATACAAACGTACAATCTGTATAAAGGGAATATTGCGCTTTCAATTAATTCACATCGATTAATCGTTCGATTTAATTTGCTTACCGTTACTTTCTAATTTGTGAAACGCCGAAATGGAATTGATTAAAGTTTCTTTAATTTTCAGACGAAATGCTCACTCCTGGAAGTTTCTGACAATGTCAAGTATGAGCATTCTTCATTTACACTCATATTATTCTGTAACCCTATCCAACTACTAATTTATTACAAATTAATTTATTTTTAATATTAATAGGCACTGTAATATTAATTTATTTATTGTAAATTAACTTGAAAAACAATGAAGTGGAACTGGCTTAAATTCGCCAGTTTTTAACAATCCTAACAAATCCTAATAAATTTACCAATTCTAACAAAGCAGAAACCATTCGCCAGTTCGAATAAGATTCCAAAACATTTCTGATCTATTTCCAAAGTCATTTTATTTATTTCAAAATTATTTTCTAATTCATTTTCTCACAAGCATAGTCCACAAACCTATATTACTCTATACGATATCCCATAGATATATCCAATAAATTCAGAAAGCACTCTTATAATAACAACAACGTCAGCACTCCTGAAGAAAATTAGATATTTGGAGAAGTTGATAACCTTCCGCCATGATTTTTCTGAAAAACGCATCCCCATTATTCTCGTCGGCAATTGGAGCAGAGGGAGTCACGCGCGAAATTCGTCGAACAGTTTCACAAGCATAGTCAA